GCTTCTTTTGCGATTCTTTTATATTCATTTTTTACTTCTTCAGGTTCTTTTTCCCATGATCGAGATACTATTAGAGAGATAATATTCATTGGCAAATTATAACCGTTTGCATGGGCAGTTTCAACAAACAATTTTCGATAAATCATAAAGGCATTAGGAGTCCTGGGCACACGACCATCGGAATGGAAAATAACTAAATCGTGTGGATTAATTTCTGGTGGGAATGGAAGTTTAAGTTGCGGATGATCGATCACCTGACTTTGAATCATGGGATCATTTCCGGAATTTATGAAGGCGCAAGCACGATTAACAAAGAAACTAGATTGGCATTCGTTCATGTTGGTTAAATTTTTGCTAGTTATGTTAGTTATAAGCTTTAATGTTTTAAATATCAGGTTTTCTTGCTTTTACACGCTGAGCTGATGGTTTGGAATAAATCTAAATCCTGTTGTATTTATATTTTTTTAGCCCTAGACGTAGGTTTCTAAATTGTTACAATCCATTAAGCTTATTTGACTACTAAATATGGATATTGTTCGGTTCTCTTGGAATTTTTGATCTATTTATAAAATGACGTTATCTTGCACACATTATGTAATTACACCGAGGTTATCCCTAATCATTCTAATCGTTCTAAATATAACTTATTGTTGGTGTGCTTGAAATAAAATCCTTGTGCTTCTAAACAAAGTGGCGTTATGTCATATCTAAATCCACCGTAAATATACTAAATTAGTATGTTTCGTTACATTCAACAATTTTATTGGGTTATAGCGCCCCAAAGTGTGAACAAGCTGTAGCCACAGGGGCTGTGAATTTTTTATCATAACGGTAAAAATTCAAAGTTTTAATTGGCAACGTCTCGTAAATAAGAAAACTTGGGGCTTTCAAATTCATAGTTCACAAATGTATATATTTCATTAAATATCGAACCATTTTTAATATTGTCACTATTGTTTGGGATAATAAAAACAGCTATGTGTCTTCGATATGATGAGGTTTATTGCTGTATAATAAAAATCCAATAAAAATAGCTTTTTTCCTGAAAATGGTTCACATAATAGTAGGTAGAGATTGGAACTGGTTTTATTTTTCATACGGTAAAACCGGTTTTAATCAGTTTAGCATATAACAAATAAAATCGGTTCAAAACTCCGATAGTAAGTTTATGTACGTAATTAAAGAAGTGATAATTATGTGTTTATGAAATTACAATTTAACTAATAAATTGATACAAAATTAATTTTTTAATTAACGTAAATTTTAAAAATTACCCAGCAATACGAAGCTGATGAACTTAATGATATATATTTTTTTTATTTATTAATCATCCATCACTGCAAAATTTCCAATAAACCATAGATTTTTTATTATTATTAATTAACTTGCGTACACCATCAAAATAATAAATATTCGTCCATGCTTCACTAAAATTAAATATATAATTAAAAATAGGGTAAATCTATTTGTCGCCAGTGGTGACAGACCCAGGCCAATCAGATTGCGCGATTCAAAAACCTCAACATTTCAAATCAAAATAACTCAAAATTATGTCTATGAAACCAACTTCCGTGTCTTAATAAAAAATATTCCTTGCATAATTTATTATACATTATGACCCTTTTTGACTCTAAATATAGTTTTAAATAAAATCCTGTACTGTCACTGCTGGCGACAAGTAGATTATTTCTTAAAAATAAACAAAGTAAATTTACAAATTCTAGCCTTATTAATTGAATAAGATGTGCACAATATGTATTGTGCCAAACTTGTGGCATTGCTAGTTGTAAAACTTTTCAAACAGACTTTTTAAGTAAAAAGCCAAATTTGATACAATAAGTTAAAAGGTATCTTCTATTCAACCAAAGTTTAAAGGACCAATTGACCTACCGTAACATTATTCACTCGAGATACAAAGTCAACTAAAATTAACTTTGTTTAATCCTGATAGCCAAAAAGAGTATTAATCACATTTTAAGCTTTTTGTTGGTAGTTTTATCAATTATTGTCGCAGCTGATGCTGAAAACGGCTGATGCTGAAATTCGGACCTATTTTGATATGAATTTTTAAAAAATTTTTAGGGTGTCTTTTTTTTTAAAGTTGAGTTAGTATTTAGGGTTAGAATTGATAATTAACGAGTATATGTGGATTTTAACAGGGCTTATATTTTTAAATAGAGACCCCAAATTTCAGCATCAGCCGTTTTCAGCATCAGCTGCGACAATTATTATTGAGGTTGGTTTGCTACAAACCATTTTTTGCAGTTGTTTATAATGTTCAAATATATCATTTAAATAATATTTTTGAATACTATCAACAATAAGAATGGTGTTTTCATCTTTGCAATATTTTTTTAAAAAATTTTTAATTTATTTATTTTCTCAAGAAAAATTTCTACCTCTATTCAGGCTTTTACTAAATTATGAAATATTTGTTTTTTTTTTATTAATAATTACTAATAAGGTGTAAAGAAATTGCTAATAATTATTATAATTGGTATTAATATATGAATAATAAAAATTTTTGTAAATTTTAAATTTATATATAGTAATAGTAGATTTGTTTTTAACCAATACTATATTACAAAACTGGCAAAAAAGTTTATTATTGTTTTTATAGAAAGCCTTTTATTCTTGAGATAAACCTGCTAAAGCTTTTAATATTCATATTTGGATAACCTAAATTTTAGTTAATATATATATATGCCAAGGTTAAGGTATGCAAATATTAGTTATTTTTTAGTTAATCTTTTTTTAGCTTCTATCTTTAGTTTAATCTCACTATAGCCTAATTGTTGCTATATAATTTACTTTTATTTTTGTAGAGTTTACTTAAATCTTAGTACTCTTTTTAGTATTTTTTATTTTTAATATTCTCTAGTTAGTCTAAACTACTAATTCAAATAGTCCAAAAAGAATATTAATTTTTTTGATATCTATATAATTGATGTTCTGGTAGTCTGGTTAGTAAAATACTCTTGCTAAATATCTAGTTTTTATTTAGTTATACTAATTTTAGGTATAATCTATTCTAGTAGCATTATTAAAAGTTTGTGCTATTTTTTTACTTAAATCTTGCCAAGCAGATATTTATTTTTTTTGTTTTTCAAATTTATACTACTACAAAAAACTTATTTTAAATTTGTATTACTTGATATTATTTTGTATATTTTTATATAATTTATATAATATAAATATTTTGCAGTTTTTTAATCTTGTTGATATCACTAAAGTTATAAATATTTTATTTTAATATAGTAATTAATAATTGTAATTATAGTATAAGTAAAATATTTAAATTTTTTGTTACTAATAAGTTTTGAACTTTTAATTTGCCAATATACTGCTTGGAGTATAATAACTTAACTACTTTACTAAGTTACTATATCTTTTTAATTTAAAAACTTTATTTATAAATTATTTGTTAAATACTATATATCTAAAATTTGCTAATAGATTTTTTATTTAAGGTTTTAATTTTTAATACTTTTTTATTTTTATTTTTTTTTAATTTTAAGATAAGGTCATGTCTCTGGTTTTTATTATTATATATAACTTATATATATTTATTATTATATATATATATTGTGAACTACTAAGACTTAAACTTTATCTACAATCTAAACCTACTAGAGTGGTTCATGTCCTATATATGTCTTATCTAGATTTTGCTTTTTATTTTCTCTGATTTAGCAACCTACATATTCTTTTCTTGTCTTACCTGTTCTATTAACAACTTTCAGATTGGTTTTCAATCATCACTATATTTCTATAGCTCCCGATTTGAAGTGACTATTATAGCTTCTGCGGTATTTTAGCTGCTACTTTTTATAGAAGTATCTTATAGTTATTTTTGACTAGACTTATCTTTCTATAGTATGTATCTTAAGCCAGAACCCTGCTATCTAGTTAGATCTCTATATAAGAAAGTTGATATTTTATTAATAGCTAAGCCTCTCACTTATTTTTTCAAATACTACTAATCTGTGCTGCAACTAGTTTGTGAACTCCAGGTCTTACTCATCATATTTCTATACCAGATATCTATCTCTATATATTTTTAGTTACTATCTAAAGATTTGCATTCTATAGCACCAAAGATACTTCTAATTCAGTAAAACCAATCTTTTATCATAGCTCTTTTACATGTTCACTGCTTCTCTCACCATTCCAGTTTTGGTAGTATCATATCACTTTTTCAAGCAAGTACTCAAAACCATTTTGCATTAGAGCTTATGTGTACAATCTGTTGATTATCCTTCCAAGCAAGTATCCCACAAGTTGGGTATAAGAATGTTGATACTGCCAGATATAGAGATAATAGAATGTTGGTATTGTCTTTGTGTTACTCCTAACCAGAGAGCTTACTTGCACAATCTTCTACAACCTGGACCTTCTGTAATGCTGCTATTATATATAGTGCCTGTACTCTATGATCAGACTTCACTAAGTCGCCACACCCAACTGATATAATATTTAGCCAATCATAGACTTGTATTTATTATAGATTCCATTTTCAGATTTCCAATGGTGTAATGCATGAAATTTGATGATCATGGTAATTTGAAAAGCACTGTAATTCTACCGGCCTACTTCCTATAATAAATAGTTTTTTAAGAATTATTTTTTATCTAATCATCTATTAATCTTTTGTTAGAAAGAAAGTCATCTCCGCTTCGCTCTGAACAATAATTTTAGAAGTCCAGGAATTTTATGGTCTTTCATATCGCCATTTTTTTTGCAAAAATTCTGGAGTTGATCTAAAAAATAACTTACAGCTAGATCCAGAAATGCTAGATAATATAATATATATATAATATACACATGAATAGAGATGCCGGTGAAAATAATTTCACCAAAGCTTCATAAATTTAAACCGCATTTTATTAATAATGGTGAATTATTTTTACCTCCCTAGTTAATTTCACTAGCATCTTTATACATAAAGGTTTCTGAATCTTACCTGCAAGGTTGATGATATCCAACTACAAAAATGTTTACATAATAGTCATTGTGGCAGAAAACAAGTTTTTGAATTTGTATTACAATAGCACACATAGTGGATAGAGAAAAAAATTCGCTATATAAGATTACTGTTTCTTAAGAGCAAATTACATTTTTTATACCGAATATAATGAACTAATATATAAAGTTTAAAATGTTACAGTTTGTTATATCTAGAGTTCGTTATTAAAATGATTAATTATAAAAGGGTTTGGTCTCATATGTAACCGATTTCAGTTGGGCACTTATTTAATATATAGTATAAAATCTTGAAGTATGTACATTCTTACCATACTAGTAATTAGAAAGCTTCATGATTTGTATCTGAGTAAATTCGATTATTTATATCTGGACGAACCTGACGATTTATATCAGAATAAACCTGAGGATTTGTATCAGAGCAAGCCTGATTATTTGTATCTATAAGTGGGTTAGACATTTTTGCTTTGTGTTTTGAGTACAATATAAAACCAGTTGCCACTAATATGCTAACAAAAATAAAGGATCCTACTACACTCCCACTACTGCACTTATATTGAGCCGAGTTTGCTGAGATGAGGATTTGGATGAAGGTGGAGGGAAACCCGAAGTTCTACTTTTTCCCGGCTGATCTCCCAAAATAAAATTTGTTGTGAATCTTTGGTGATGTCTGCAATCGCAATTCCTGCTAAATTATTATTTTTTATATAGTCAAGTTTGGCACTTAACGATTGATAATCTTCATAGAAAGTGACATAGTATTTTGAAGCGTCTTGTTGTTGCACTGCTAATAAAACCATAAGTCCATTGTAAAGATGAAATTAAATTCGTAGGACAAGATGATGATGATAATAAACTACTTAAATTTTCCCATAACCAATATGCATATGATGAATGTTTACATTGATCTGAAATATGTTCAGTATTACGAGGGGGCTGAAGATTTGAATCATTTACTGGTTGAAGGTGTTGACTCTCGATGTCTGATTTAATATTATTAGAAGAAACAATTTCGACAACGCCTAAAACGAGTTTTTTTGAATGATCTATAAAATTCCAATTATTTAAAATTTATGTGATTTGAACTATTCCAGCACTTCCATACGTGTGATTTATATTAAGACGAAATGCCTAAAATTTATAAATGGATAAATAATGTAACTGATTATATAAAGGAAGAAAGGTTAAATATTAACTGAATATTTATAAAACTAATGATATTTGAGTTGACGTCCTTTATAGGATATTGGCCATAATCGGAATGCTTTGGTCTCAACTCACATAATAAATATTCCCTAAATGCAAGATTTTTTGATTTTTTT